AGAGGATGGCTCTAGACTGTTCTCAGTGGTAGCAGATGACAGAACGAGGAGTAATGGTCTCAAGTTGCAGTGGGGGAGGTTTAGATTGGATATTAGGAAAAACTTTTTCACTAAGAGGGTGGTGAAACACTGGAATGTGTTACCTAGGGAGGTGGTAGAATCTCCTTCCTTAGAGGTTTTTAAGGTCAGGCTTGACAAAGCCCTGGCTGGGATGATTTAACTGGGATTTGGTCCTGCTTTGAGCAGGGGGGTTGGACTAGATGACCTTCTGGGGTCCCTTCCAACCCTGATATTCTATGATTCTATGAAAAGGAACTGCTGCATGCTCTGCAATCTGAAAAATCAGCCAGGTGCCTAAATATGAGCAGAAACATTTTCAGCCCAAAATATAAATATTAGCTAAGGAATTGCCTCTTTAAGGGCCAAATTCTGGTTTCAGCTGCACTGGTGTAAACCTGGAGTAACTCCATGGAAATAAGTAGTGTTCCACTGAATTTACAGTCCTGCGACGTACTGGCCTCTTGGTTCCACTATTGGCTCTGTCGCTGAACTCCCACGTGACCTTGGGCCAGTCTCTGAAGGTGGGACTTTTCAATGTGATTTGTGTTCCCAAATCACTGAAGCATTTTTGAAAATCCCAGCGTTAATTTTTCTGTTCCCCATTTGTAAAATGAAGATAATACTTTCAGACTTCTACCCTCTTCTTGTCCATTTAGATGGTAAGCTCTTCAAGGCAGGATCTAACCTCTTAACATGAGTATGTACAGGGCCTCACACAATGCATCCCTGTATTACTGTAATACTACTAATAAAAATACTTTAACCATGAGCAGAATTTGGTTTTGTACATTTTACATACAAATATGGAATGGGAAAAGTCTAAAGAAAATTTTTCTGAAACACAGCAAAATAGCATGTGACTTTACTCCTATACATGATTTTGATAAGAACATAAAATAGCCCACACTGGGTCAGACTAATGGTCCATAATGACAATGAAAGGTGCTAGATGCTTCAGAGGGAATAAACAGAACATGACAATCATCCCATCATCAAGTCCCAGCTTCTGGCAGTTAGACTCATAGACTTTAAGGTCAGAAGGGACCATCGTGATCATCTAGTCTGACCTCCTGAAATAGACCCAAACCTCTGGCTGAGTTACTGAAGTTCTCAAATCATGGTTTAAAGACTTCAAGTTACAGAGAAATCACTATTTACATAGTTTAAACCTGCAAGCGACCCATGGCCCATGTTGCAGAGAAAGGCAACCCCGCCACCCCAGGGTTTCAGCCAATCTGACCTGAGGGAAAGTCAGAGGCTTAGGGACACCCAATGCATGGGATTGTCTCCTTAACCATCTTGGCTAATAGTCATTGATGGACCTCCATGAATTTATCTAATTCTTTTTTGAACTCTGTTGTACTTTTGGTCTTCACAACTTCCCCTGGAAACATGTTCCACAGGTTGACTGTGTATTGTGTGAAGAAGCACTTCCTTTTGTTTGTTTTAAACCTAATGACTATTTATTTCATCAGGTGACTGTTGATACTTGTGTTATGTGAAAAGGTAAATAACACTTTCACTTTCTCCACACCATTCATGGTTTTATAGACCTCTATCATATCCCCCCTTAGTCATCTCTTTTCTAATTTAAGATGTTCCAGTCTTTTTAAATTTTTCCTCATATGGAAGCTGTTGCATACTTATCATTTTTGTTGCCCTTCTCTGTACCTTTCCCAAGTCTCACATATCCTTTAGGAGATGGGGCAACCAGAATTGCATGCAATTTTCAAGGTGTGAGAGTACCATGGATTTATATAGTGGCACTATATTTCCTATTTTATTATCTATCCCATTCCTAATGGTTCCTAATAGTCTGTTTGCTTTTTTGACTGTTGCTGCACATTGAGCAGATGTTTTCAGAGAACTATCCACAAGATCTCTTAAGTGGTAACAGTTAATTTTGACCCCATCACTTTGTATGTACAGTTTGGATTATATTTTCCAGTGTGCATTACTTAATATTTATCAACATTGAATTTCATCTGCCATTTTGTTGCCCAGTTTTGTGAGATCCCCTTTGACTCCTTGCACTCAGCTTTGGGTTAACTATCTTGAGTAGTTTTGTATCATCTGCAAATTTAGCCACCTTTTTCCAGATTATTTTTTGAATATGCTGAACAGGATTGCATATATTTTTATCTCACAATGGGAAAATATTTAATTAACTTGCAGAGTTTCCTTAACTGCCGAGTTTCCAAGAGGATGGAAAGTTGCATGATGAGTTGAGATTGGCTGTAACCCTATTTTAATACATCATTTTTACTTCATTGATTTATTTTTACACTCAACTTAAAAAAATGGTTTGCAATTTTTCTCCCCAATACACTTTAAGAAATTTGAAAATTATCTACCAAATAGAGTATGGGTCTGAGTTTCAAAGATCCTGAGTACCTGTGGCTCCCACTGAGTTTAAATGGAGTTAGGTGCTCAGCTCTTCTGAAATAGCAGAGGAGTAGAGATAAGTTGAACCAAAATGTTGGACTGAAACATCCCTGGCCTGTGGGAAGGTTCATATCTACAGCCAAAAATTGAGACGGGTTCATACCCTGTTATCTGACAGACAACTTCAGTACTGATTTATAGCTTGTGCAATCCCATTTACTTTTCAAAGGGCCCAACTGCCAGTATTGTTACATCTCATTTGATTCTTTATCTGAGCATCAGCACTATCAACTTGTAGGACGAGGTTCTTAGGCCTCAGCTCTGCTCCAATTGTAATCAACGTCAACACTCCACTGACTTTAGTTGGGGGCCTTAGGTAAAAGCTTGAAGAGCCAGTAGAGGGAGCACCTGTAGCTCTGATCTGTAGGTCCGATCAAAATAGTGATTTTTATAGTATTTTTAATATAACGGTAATTTTGTATTCGATTTTTTTTTTACATTCACACTGAGGACATTCAACATCAGCTTACCATAGATTTAAGAAAGGGAATATTTTTGGTGCTGAACTACTCGGGGCAATCCATTGAAATCCTGGAGTTTGACTGAATAAGGTCAGTGGGATTGGGCCCGGAGATGCTGATCTTTTGAAAAATTGTTTCTTAAATAAATCTTGAAAAAATATTTGTTGTTTCTCCTTTGAAAATAAAATCCCTCAAGGACTCATTTGCTTGCTTTTAAAGATTCGCCTTACTACTCAATAGAACTTGAAGCAAATACATTATTTAACATATATCTGTTTCCTTCATTTATTGGTGGGCAGTTTATAGTACTCTATTTTATTTATATTGTACAATATGTAGCAGATCCTACATACTGACATACAATATGGGAAGACCAGATAGTGGCTCTTCAGCCATTGGACTGTCCCACTGCAACTAGTCGAACCACCTAGCAACAGTTAATAGAGGCACTGTGCTTCTCTCCATGTGAGGCTGACTCCATCAGCACTGCAGAGGAGGGGATGAGGCCCTGGCTCCACTGCCATCCGCCCCCTTCTCGCCTACTTTGCAGGATCTAGTACCACAAGCAGCTCTAGCTTGAATGGGTTCCCCTTCTGCATCAGCCAGCAGGGATTCCTTAGGAACCTGGCTCGGCAGAGAGTTGTGATGCTTTTTAGACCTCTAACAGGCCTCTGTGCTCCATCGTTGTCCTAAGATCCAGGGATCTCCCAGGGGATCCCAGGAGAGCAACAGTTTTTGTGAGTCTCACCCCCTGCCTGCTCCCGGAGGGAGGGAAAGCCCTGCCCTCTCAGTGGGACAAGCAGAAGGAAACCGTGGGATGAAACCTGCTGCATTTCCTAACCCATACGCAGATTTTCCACTGCAGGGGCTCTGGGCTCTTTACATTCCTCTGTTACTAAACATTTAAGGGTGGCATTTTCACAAACACTCAACATTGGCCTAACTCTGCTCCCGCTAAAGTTGATGGGAGTTTTACTAGTGACTGCAATGGGAGTAGAGTTGGGCCAATGCTGAGCACTTTTGAAAATTCCTCCCTTAAATGACCCAAAGAGTAGGCTGGCAAAAGAACCCTGTAGCCATATAAAGGTATGAGACCCAAGAAAAGAGCCATCTTAGAAATTCATTAGCTTTTTAAATCTCAAGCTAAACAAGGCACAGTTGAGATTAATTTATAGTTCACTCTATCCTAGAGTTCTCACAAACATGGGACAGCTAATTAGTATTTGGGATAGGGATAGGGTGTGGGATAGACTTATTGGTGTCTAAAAATATACAGAGATTCAATAACACCACCACCATAATAACTTGACCATTGAAATGACTGACCCTTTCATAATATGACTTCTCTTGACAATCACAGCGTGATATCATTGCACTGATCTGTTCTACACTTGGATTTTCCTTTTTCAAATGAAAAGGTTTTGGATTGGACAGCATTTGATTCTTTACAAACATGACAAGAACTAATTAATCTTGCCTGTTGAGCATTAGACAATCATGAAGGATTTAATGAACTATAGAATCTTTTCTGGACTATATGAGGTTGCTACATCCATCCTGAAATTTGTGGATTGCATGGTACATTATATTGAATGACATTTTTTCACTGCAACCTTTCCCTTGTTTTCCTTTGTGCATACTCATATATATATATATTTTAATGGAGCAAGTTAGTGAATAGTCTTGGTTTTTTTAAAGGAAAATGAAACTTGCTATATTTTTGAAATGAACTATTATGGAAGTGCCTGCAATATAAGTCACTCCATTCAACTTTAGACAACAATTTTTCCTTTCAGAATAACACATTTCTGGTTGAAGTACTTTGCTCATAAGAGAGAAAAACAAAACTACTTATTTGAATTTTTCCCCCTGCCTGAATGAGTCTGATTATAATTAAAATATACCTTTTATTCCATGACACAGAATGGTAACAAAACAGGGAACTCTGAAAAAAGGCTATGAAAGTGAGTAAGGAGCAGATGGTTATTTCTGTTGCAGCTGCTTTTGAAATCACTGAAGCTATAGATAATTTACCTGTTGGCCTGGTTTGAGTGGTGATAGTGTTATTCCTTGGGTGTTGATCACTGGTAGTATCTGGTTTCCAATGACTGTAGCAATGATCTGACCCTGGGCATTAGTCAATAACTGTGGGGTAATTGGCTGCACTTGAAGGCCCTGAGCTCCTCCTGCTGCCTGATTGGATGGGACTGGATTAGGCATCAGTGGAATTGTTCCAATAATCTACAAGAAACAAAACAATAGGTGAAAATCTATACATAACACAAATATTTATTCTATATTATTACTTGTTTTATATATATGCATTTTATATCAGGTAAACCAAAGACTGTCCTTTTTTCCCCACAAGTTCACTTTTCATCCCAAATTGCTCAATACATTATAGGCTTACACCTCAAAAGTGCTGAGCATCCTGACTCCTATTGATTTCAGTGAGAATTCACACACACACACACACACACACACCTTCAGTGATCAGCAAAAAGCAGGCAAATTCTGGCTGACGACTAAGCAGCACAACACAAAAATGCGGGGGGGGGGCACTGACATTTTGACTAATAAAATGGGCAAAATGTTGCATTTATAAAAAATGACACGGAGCCAAATTTGGAGGGGACAAAGAGAACAGAAATAGCTGCCACACTGAGTCAGACCATGTTCCATCTTGCCTAGTATCCTGTCTCCAACAGTGGCCTGTACCAGAGCTTCTGGGGGCGTGTATCAAAGAGGACAATTAGGGAGTGATCCATTCCTGTCTTCCACTCCCAGCTTCTGGCAGTCAGAGATTTCAGGTTGCCGCGAGCATGGGGTTATGTCCCTATCCTCCATGAACGTATCCAGTTCTTTTTTGAGCCCCGGTGTACTTATGGCCATCAAAACAGCCCACGGCAATTGTGTGTTGTGTGGAAAAAGTACTTCCTCTTGTTTGTATTAAAACTGTTTCCTATCAAATTGGCCAGGTTACTCCTGGTTTTTGTATTGTGTGAAAGGGTAAACAACACTTTTCTATTCACTTTCCTCATAATTTGTGATTTTATAGATCTCTATCATATTCCCCTTTAATCGTCTCTCTTCTAAGCTGAACAGTGCTAATATTTTTAGTCTCTCCTCATATGGAAGCTATTTAGGGTGACTAGATGTCCCGATTTTATAGGGACAGTCACAATATTTGGGGCTTTGTGTTATATAGGCACCTATTACCCTCTACCCCCTGTCCCGATTTTTCATACTTGCTGTCTGGTCACCCTAAAGCCATTCCATTTCCCTAATCACCTTTGCTTCTCTTCTCTGAACCTTTTCCAGTTCCACTGTATCCTTTTTGGGATGTGTTGACCAGAATGGGACACAGTACTACAAGTGTGGGCACGCCAGGAATTTATGTAGTGGCACTACGATATTTTACGTCTTTTTTGTCCTCTTTCCTAATAGTTCCTAACATACTTCTAGCCTGTTTGACTGCTGCTGAGCACTGCATGGAAGTGTTCAGAGAATTATCCATGGTGACGTCAAGATCTCTTTCTTGGGTGGTTACAGCTAATTCAGAACCCATTGTTGTATACATATAGTTGGGATTATTTTTTTTTCAGTGTGCATTACTTTGCACTTATCAGCATTGAATTTTGCTATTCTGTTTGCCATTTTGTGAGATCCCTCGGTAACACTTTATAGTCAGCTTTGGATGTAATTATCTTGAATAATTTTATATTGCCTGCAAACTTTGCCATTTCACTGTTCACCCCTTTTCCAGATTATTAATTAATATGTTGAACAACAGAGGTCCCAGTACAGATCCTTGGCGGACCCCCCCCCAGTTCACTTTTCCATTGTGAAAACTGACCATTTATTCCTACCCTTTGTTTCCTCTTTCAACCAGTTACTGCTCCATGAAAGGACCTTACCTCTTATCCCATGGCTACTTAGTTTTACTACTTAGTACTTTAAAAGCCTTTGGTGTAAGGAGCATAAATTACTATAAGGGTAATTTACCCATCACTTCAGAGTCTTTAAGGTCCATAAGAAAAGATTGGGTCTCAGTTTCTGAGGTCTCATCTGAAAGAGCCACACATGGTAACCTGCACTGAACTCTAGTTAGACACCTCAGAAGGAAGAAGGACTGAGCGGACCCCTCTCTCATTTGAAACCTGAGCTTAGAGCAGTAAGCAATCCCCTGAAATATTAACATACCTGTAAAACTGAAATACAGATAAGATGACAGACATGTACTGATTGAAAGGCAGCAGGATCTTTACACAAATATTATAGCACATAAATACACCTCAGGTGAGGCTCGTTTTTTTAAAAAAAAAGTTTTTCAAGATAGTGAATGGCCAAAGTTATCTTCAGCATAAACAGGTGCAAATCCCACTGACTTCAATAGCTATTTTTAAAACATCAATGGAAAATAATACTAATACCACCCTAATGCTTATATAGTACATCTCATTTGTAGATTTCAAAGTGCTTTACAAAGGAGCTCTGTGTAATTAATTTTTATGTGGTATAAGTTTTAACACAATTTGCTGTAAAAATAGCTTTAAAAATTGCTTAATAAGAATACTGGATACTTGGTGGCCAGATCACAGAAATATTATCTGGGTCTATTGAAAATTAAAGGGGATACACATGTGAGTTCCAACAGAGAAGAATGAAGGCCTCCATCGAATGTGCCTTGACATACAACTCAGTGGCATTCAGTTCTGTCCAGGGTGATGCTGACATGCCTTCTTTCTTAAACTAAACATTCTGGGAAAAAATCAGGGGTTGGAAGCATGGGGTGGGACGAGCAGAGGGATTAAGAGGAAAATTGTAGTTCTCAAAATGAAGACAGAAGAGAATGCGAAAGTTCCACCCTGAATTAGCTTTTCTGTGGGATGGCCAGGTGGAGTATTCAACCCACCAATTTGAACTATATAATGACACCAGGGTACATTTTACATGCTCAAAGCATTGCACAGATATTATCTAATTTAGCCTTACCACACCCCTGTAAGGCAGATAGTTAAATAACCAGATGGGGAAATTCAGATGGAGAAGTGAAGTGACATACTCAAGATCAAACTGCAAATGATTGGCAGAGTCAGACTTTGAACTTAGATCTGCCACAGCAGTGCATTTTTCTCTAGACCACACTATTTCAGGCATCCTCATTTGGTCTGCACCTATGTTACCAGAAAGAAGCTGTAGCTCACGAAAGCTTATGCTCAAATAAATTGGTTAGTCTCTAAGGTGCCACAAGTACTCCTTTTCTTTTTGCGAATACAGACTAACACGGCTGCTACTCTGAAACCTATGCTACCGTCTCTGAGAGGATGATTAATCCGATGGGGATTAATTTGAATAATTAAAAAGAAAAGGAGTACTTGTGGCACCTTAGAGACTAACCAATTTATTTGAGCATGAGCTTTCGTGAGCTACAGCTCACTTCATCGGATGCATACCATGGAAACTGCAGCAGACTTTATATACACACAGAGAATATGAAACAATACCTCCTCCCACCCCACTGTCCTGCTGGTAATAGCTTATCTAAAGTGATCATCAGGTTGGGCCACTTCCAGCACAAATCCAGGTTTTCTCACCCTCCACCCCCCCCACACAAATTCACTCTCCTTGTGTGGGGGGGTGGAGGGTGAGAAAACCTGGATTTATGCTGGAAATGGCCCAACCTGATGATCACTTTAGATAAGCTATTACCAGCAGGACAGTGGGGTGGGAGGAGGTATTGTTTCATATTCTCTGTGTGTATATAAAGTCTGCTGCAGTTTCCATGGTATGCATCCGATGAAGTGAGCTGTAGCTCACGAAAGCTCATGCTCAAATAAATTGGTTAGTCTCTAAGGTGCCACAAGTACTCCTTTTCTTTTTGCGAATACAGACTAACACGGCTGTCACTCTGAAACCTTTGAATAATTAGTAGACCACAGGCTATTTTAAAGGGTCTGACTTTCATCATTAACTAAGATAGCACAGAGCACAGCATATCAGCCTGCTCACATGTCCTGGAAGGTTTTTGGACTATACAATATATTCTTTCACTTTCAGCAAGTGTTAACAAATGGGAAGAAGAACGCTTCTTCACTTCATCAGCAGAAACTTTGCATAGGGATCTCATCACTTCACCATGTCAGTAAAGGACATGCCTTGAGATGTTACTACTGGGCCTGTAACTTTAACCAGGAGGGTTTGAATTCCTGGAAGGCAAAACATGCTGCTCTGCTTTATCACTAATAGATATGTTTGCACCCACATTTAAAATGCATTTCTTGGATTGCAGCTGACATTTATAGACTGACAGTGCTCAAGACAACAGTTTGTAAGGTCAGAAGCAAAAGGATATCGATACGTGTTAGTGTGTGTCACACCCTACTGTACTCTGTGCACTGTACACACACACACAGCCAGCAACAGAGTGGGGAAAGGATATATAGTACCGAGCTACCCTATACATTTAGGCACACAGACCTGTTGAGGCGTAGGTGTTATGATACAGTCTTTAACTACATGATCCCAGATGACTTTTTCCACAGGACTCCTGTCTCACTCAGTGCACAGGATGGATAGTACTCAGGGAATGAGTCAGCCATTCAGTGTTTTTATCCTGGTCATTCAATTAGTGGTTCTAACCTATTTCTAAAGCCTGCAATGAATACAGAATTATTCACTTCCTCAGGGCTTTTTTTAAAATCACTGTAGTATTTGAGTTTTATCACAAACATTAATTATTTTGTCTCCATTGCAAAATAAGAGAGCATTATTATCTCCATTTTACAGTTGGGGAAACAAAGAGACATATCTCAGGCCACGGAGTGGCAGAACCAGGACGAGAATCCTTTTGCTCATTCCTCCAGGCTATGCTACCTTTAGCATCTTTAGGCTACTGTGTATAAGTTTTTGCAATTCTTTTGCTTACACAAAGATAGGAAGCCAAAGAGCTGCTGCTTCCACCCTTGTAGGATGGGGTGGCTAATTGTGCACATATTTGCACTTCAGCTACCGAATTGTGTTTTTGTTTAAATGTATAATACTAGTTGTTTATTTCCCAACAGTGGATCTTTTCTTATTGCTGCTGTTGCATTTATTGGGGTTTGAAATTTGTTTAAAAGTGACTATTATGTTCTAAAATGTATCCTGTGTTGGATTTTTATTAGTAGTTCAACAAGCATTTACCTTCAGTCAGAAACAGGCATGCCGCCTTGTTTGGCTGCTTCCCAGCACAGCCAAAG